AGTAATTGTTTTACAAATTTGGTGTTCATTTTAAGGTAAATATAAATTTTTAATTATTTTTAAATTGCAATTCATGTAAAATCAGTGATAAAATGCTAAACAATTGTCATATCATTACTAAATCGGATGATTATTTCCACTGTTTTTGGCCTAAATGTCAGTACAGGACAATATATAAACATGTGCTAGTATCACATCAATTAATCCATTCAGACATTAATATAAAACAGTTTAAATGTGATTTTAATAATTGTAATAAAAGTTACAATCAATCGGCAAGTTTATTTAAACATAAAAATGCAATTCATTTAAATGTGAGATTTATTTGTAATTTCAATGAATGTCATAAACGTTTTGCTGAAAAACATAGTTTAATTCATCACAAAAATTTGGTTCATTTGAATAAATTTGAATTCAGATGTAATGAAGAAAATTGTGGCAAAAGTTTTGCTTCAAATTACAGATTACTTCAACACAAACGCATTCATTTGAGGGAAAAGCTATTTGTTTGTCATTTCAATAAATGTGGTAAAAGCTATGCAAATAAATCTGATCTTAAAACTCACACAAATAGTGTTCATTTAAATGTAAAATTTATTTGTGATTTCAATGAATGCCACAAAAGTTTCACAACAAAACGTAATTTAGTTCAACACAAAAGTTATGTTCATTTGAATGAAAGGAAATACAAATGTAATGAAGAAAATTGTGGCAAAATATTTGCCACAAAACATACCCTAATTTCCCACAAACGCTGGCATTCGGCAGAGAATTCATACGTTTGTAATGAAGACAATTGTGGCAAAAAATTCACTTCAAAACTAAATCTAATTTCACACAAATATAGACATTCGGGAGAAAAGCCATTTGTTTGCGATTTCAATGAATGCCACAAACGTTTTGTTCGTAAATCAGATCTTATTGGACATAAATCCATACATTCGGGCGAAAAACTATTTGTTTGTGATTTTAATGATTGTAATAAAAGTTTTAAACAAAGAGCTTATTTACGGAAGCATAAAAGTACTCATTTAAGCTTAAAACAAGTTGAATGTACAATAAATGATTGTGGTCAACGTTTTGTATGTAAACTATATTTACGAAATCACATTAAGCGATGCCATAAAATGTAATTAATTGTTTTCATTGCAATTAATGCTCAATAATTATACAATATTTATCATATTTTTATTTATGTCAATAATTGCTAATTATTGTAAATGTTTTTTAAACAATATTTTTATTTTTCATAACCATTAAATTTAATCATATTTACTGATAAATTGTATTTATTAAATGAACAAGTTAAATAAAAGTAATAATTTCAAAAGGCATTATGGTATTTGTTGAAATGTTCATTTAACATTCATGTATTTAAACTAATCAATATATTTGTGTGGATTTTGAACAAAATTCTCAATAAGTTGCGACACTTTTGCCAAACTATTATCGGTTTGTATTCTTCGGGAGACTTCGGCCAACCGTTCAGCCAATTGGCGATCGTTTAGCAGAGTCTCGATCGCCGCCAACAGCTCCTCCTCTGAGCACTTGTATGCGTCCAGTCGTAGACCAAAGCCCTTATCGTGCAGTCTCTGCGCGTTATCGTACTGTTCGCTGAATACAGGCATAGCTATCATCGGTCGCCCGAAGTATAGGCTTTCGGTCACCGTATTTAAGCCGCCGTGAGTTATGACCAGATCTACGAGCGGTAGGACTCGGATCTGCGGCACAGACGCCGCGCCCCACATATTGTCGGCCAGAGTGTACTCCATATGCTTCGGACCCATCGATACGATGAAACGGTGCGGAGATTTGGCCAAAATGGCGACCAATCGGCGCATGTTTTGCACGTCGACCGGACAGAGAGAGCCCAACGAAAAGTAAACTAATTTTCCGGGCTTTGCGGCCAACTCTGGCGGCACAGCGAATATCATGTGCCGTTCGTTGCGCTTAAAATTGTCAAATCGGACGTAATTGCGATCCAACGGACGGATGTCCTGATAGTCCAACTCCAAGGGGTAGCCGTATATATGAAGATAACGCGCAGAGTTGTGAAAGCAATATTCGGGCAGTGGTTCGCAGCCCCGGCCGACCACCCAATCGTTAAACGTCCGCCACTTCTCTCTCCTCACGTCTCTAACCAATTGGCGAAACTCGCGCCACAGTCTCGGGTCGCCCGTAGCGGACAGTCCTATAAATTGGCGGTCATTTATGTCATAGATTTAGCATAAGTCCCATAGAAATATCATTACCATAGGATAGCATTAGGTCTATGTTAAACTATAGTCATAGACTTAAGCTGTAATCCCATGTTAAATCCCATAGGGTGGGAAGCCTGTGGGGGAGGGGGCAGACCGGTCCTATAAGCACATTGTTCATAGCTTAATTGTGGGTAAAAAAGATGTTGGTCTAACAAACCTGATTTGCCGGGCGGTGTCCTCTCATCGTCGAGCATCACGAGAGGGCCGGCGCTCCACAACCACACACACGGTATGCCAGACAACTCGGCCGCCGGCAGTGTCACCAACTGATCCAAAACTATGACATCGGGCCGAATGGCGGGCAACAGACGGGCCAACTGTGTGTCGAAATACTGGACGCTTTTCGTCCAAAACTCGATGGCGTTTACCTCGAGTCGCACCTTCTCTATGGCCGACGCGCCGCCAATCAAACCAAACGATACCATTGATTGCGAACTGCGGGCCGTATCGATGGCCCGACCATCAGTTGCGCTACTATTGGCCAACTCTACCGTTTCGATGCCATAAGCGGCCAGTTTTGGTCGCCAGACATCGTTCGCCGTAAACACCGCGCGGTGTCCGTCGGCTATCAATTGCATCGCAATACCGATACAGGGATTGACGTGACCCTCGAATAAGATGGGCGCGAATAACACTTTAAGGGGCTTTTTATTTGCCATTGTTTTAAATACAATTTTATTTTGTGTCAACCAAAACCGTTTGTCTTACATCCAGACACTATATGCTGACAATTATGCAAATCACTCGTACGACCTTATTAAATGTTTAATATGTCAGAGCTAACCTATCCGCATATGAATTGTCAAATCATGTGTTCACAAAAAAATGATAAAATTTGGATTGTTTTGAGGTCACACTATATTTCTATAATAGAAAGTCAACAATATTGTTCTAACTAATGTTGCCAACTCTGGTCGACTTGCGCCTTGAAAAATACAAAATTTTTATAAATTCATCTTGATCAAACCTTGACCACTATTATTATTGTATATTTGATTATAAATATTTTTAAAATATGAGCAATTATAGCGCCCCCTCTTATTGCAATGTCTATTGAGGTGCAGGATAATGATGGTGATGGTGATGATGATCATGGTGGTAGTTATAACACACAATTGCCATCACATCCCTTTAAACTCGAGACACTATCGATGCAATTGTGATATTTGCTAAGCAATTAACTTGTGTTATATTATTGTCTAAATAAGTGTTTTCTATTTGCTAAGTCAAAACAAGTTATTAATTAATAAAATTTTAAAGTATGATTCTTATGTACTATTTAGTCTGTTTTTTAATTTTATCATAATGCTTATATTTTCTGATTGATCAAAAGTTAATTAATAATTGACATTAAATATATTGAAACATCAGATTTCAGACTAAAAACAGCATATATTTAAATAAACAGGTTTTCACTATCAATGAGAGCACGTGTTGTAAAGCATTTCCCATTTCAACCATTTTGCTATAAATAGCCGTTTGATTCACATTAGGTTTTGGGTTGAATTGTGTTTCATTTGAATTGGATTTAATTTGTGTTCAATTTTATTGTTTGAAAATGTGTTTACAATTAATGAGTGTTTCTTTGATTGAAATGAAGAGTAAATTAAATGCAATGAAGAGTTTGTGTGAAATAATAGACAAAATTCAGTGTATTTTGAATACAAATAATAGTGTTTTGTGTGAAGCGATTGNGTGTATTTTGAATACAAATAATAGTGTTTTGTGTGAAGCGATTGAATGCGAAAATAATGATTATTTTTCAATCAATCAAACAATTGATTGCAATTCATGTAAAATCAGTGATAAAATGCTAAACAATTGTCATATCATTACTAAATCTGATGATTATTTTCACTGTTTTTGGCCTAAATGTCAATTCACGACAAATATAAAAAGGGATTTACATCGACATCAATCAATTCATTCAGAAATTAAACAATTTAAATGCAATTTTAATAATTGTAAAAAAAGTTATAATTATGCCGGGGATCTTAAGGGACACATGAACAACGTTCATTTAAATGTGAGATTTATTTGTGATTTCAATGAATGCCACAAATGTTTTACAACAAAACAACAGTTATATCGACACAAAAGTTGTGTTCATTTGAATGAAAGGAAATTCAAATGCAATGAAGAAAATTGTGGCAAAAAATTCACAACAAAACAGAATTTAATTTCACACAAAAATATACATTTGGGGGGAAAAGCATTTGTTTGTCATTTCAATGATTGTAACAAAAGTTTTTCACAAAAATGTGCTCTAAATCGACACAAAAGTTGTGTTCATTTGAATGAAAGGAAATTCAAATGTAATGAAGAAAATTGTGGCAAAAGTTTTGCTCGTAATGAAAATCTTACTGAACACAAATTGAGACATTCGGGAGACAAACAATTTATTTGTGATTTTAATGGTTGTTTGAGAGCTTTCATAAGAAAATCTGATTTAAATGATCACAAGAGCACTCATTTGACTGTCAAACCATTTAAATGTCATTATAATGATTGTGATGGAAGTTATATCAGCCTTAGATATCTTCGAAAACATATTAGATGTCGACATAAAATATAAACTAAATCTCGATTAACACAACACATGATTGCAATCCATTTACACATTAAACCGTTTAAATGCACTCAAATTGGTTGCAATCAATCCTATATTATTAAACTAACTAATCATTTAAAATGTAAACATTAAATTCATTATCTTAATAATCAATAAAAATATCAATTTATTTTAAATGTTGTAAATTTATTGTATCGTCCAATCAATGATTGACTGATCAGAGTTCAAACCAATACACGAGACGGCGATCAAAGCGTATGTAAACCACGACTTATATGAACTGACATTAATAGCCGATAAACAGCGTTGACTACAATAGCCGTTGGATTGACATTAGGTTTGCATTCAGTTTCACATCATTTCAAATGAAGTCAACATTTGTTTCATTTATTGTTTGAAAATTGGATTAAAATTAATGAGTGTTTCGTTCATTCAATTGCTTTAAGTGTTGTTTAGTTTTAGTTCATCTCAAATATCTATTGATTTAATTTGTGTTTTAAGTTATTTATCAAAATGTCTTCAAATTCAATGAGTGTTTCAATAAATGAAATGATTTGCAAATTGAATGCAATGAAGAGTTTTTGTGAAACAATAGATAAAATGAAATGTATTTTGTATTCAAATAATAATGTTTTGTGTGAAGCGATTGGAAGTGAAAATAATGACAATATTTCAATCTTTCAAACAATTGATTGCAATTCAATCAAAATCAGTGATAAAATGCTTCCCAAATGTGATATCATTACTAAATCCGATGGATATTATCACTGTTTTTGGCCTAAATGTCAATACAAAGCGAAATTTGAATACCAATTACTTATTCATCAATCAATTCATTCAGATATCAGACAATTTAAATGTGTTTTAAATAATTGTAATAAAAGTTATAAACGATTATCATATTTAATTCAACACAAAAATAACTTTCATAACAAGAGATTCAAAAGTAATGAATTAAATACGAAATGTAATAATTATTTGCACTGTTTTTGGCCTAATTGTGATTACAAGACAACAAATAAACATCACTTAAAACAACACAAAGAAATTCATTCAGAAAAACGTGAATTTAAATGTAATTTTTGTGATAAGAGTTATAAACGAAATGAAATGTTAAATTATCACAAAAATATTATTCATTTAAATAATAAGACATTTATTTGCGATTTTAATGAATGCAACAAAAGGTTTGCCCGAAAACAAGACTTAGTTAAACACAAATGTAATAATCATTTGAATGAAAAGACATTTAAATGTAATGAAGAGAATTGTGACAAATGTTTTGACAGTAGATCACATCTAAATCAACACAAACGCATTCATTCGGGAGAAAACCCATTTGTTTGTGATTTCCACGGATGTAATCAAAGCTTTAAAAGAGTTTCACATTTATCTCAACACAAAATTAATGTTCATTTGAATGAAAGGCTAATCAAATGTGATTTTCCCGATTGTAAGCAAACCTTCAAACAAACCAATCATTTAGTCGATCATAAAAATCGCGATCATTTAAATGTGAGATTTATTTGTGATTTCAATGAATGTCACAAAAGTTTTACACGAAGAGGAGGTTTAGTTAAACACAAACGTTGTGTTCATTTGAACGAAAAGCGATTCAAATGTATTGACGCGAATTGTGGCAAAGAATTCAATTCAAATTATGAGCTCAATGAACACAAACGCATACATTCGGGAGAAAAGCCATTTGTTTGTGAATTCAAAGATTGTAATAAAAGTTTTCACAGAATGTCATATTTAAAAGAACATAAAAGCACTCATTTAACTGTTAAACAATTTAAATGTCATTTCAAGGATTGCGGCGGAAGTTATGCCAGTGATAGGTATCTCAAGAAACATATCAGAGAATATCATAAAAAATAAATTTAAATTAATATTTCATATAAAAAGTACTATAATTATTGTGTGTTTATTATCAATGCTTTCAAATAATTTCTAAATCAATGTCTTTTAAATAAATTTAATGTTTAATAAATTATATTAATTTTCATGTAATTACGAATTATTGCATCAAAATAGATTTTAAACTTAATTAAAATTAATAAACAAATAATTTAAATACTTTGAATGAATGATTTATTTAAATTTTACTTTATATATAAAAAGTAATGAACGCGACTAAAACCCAATGCACTTATACTTTCAAATGTCAAACAAATTATTCCCAAATGTGACCACAAGTGAAGACTGTTTGGTATTAAACATATGGACACCAAATGCGGGCAATAATAACACAAACAAATCACAGCTCAAACCCATTATGTTTCACATACACCGCAGGGGCTGTTAGTGTCGGCACATGAGTTGAGTGCCCGGTTATGAATGACCGGTGTTTTGGTGGCCAGGGATCAGGTGTTTGTGGCTTTAAGTAATAACTTGAACATGCATTATGGTATTTGTTGAGATGTGTAAGTTTCACATTCATTGCATGAATTCAACATTAAATTCATATATTTGTGGTTTCAAATTAAAACCTCCTCACTAATTTATTACCATGATTATATTTTAAATGTCGCTCATTTATTGTATCGTCCAATCAATGACTCATTGACAATGAGTGATTCATTAGACTTACCAATACACGAGACGGCGATCACAGAGTATAATATTGTGAGCGCAAAATTTTTGCGTCGTTATATAAACATTTGTAACGTATACTACAGCACAGCACAGCACTACATTTGACGAGCGTAATAAAAGTATCACAATACGAGTTCGTAACTGTCACGTAACTTAGACGAATAGTGAGTATACAGACCGATGAGTGTGGTGACGAGTCATCACGACAAATAGTTAATGTCAGTCAATTGCATAACACTATGAAAATATTGCGAGCGGTTTACAGCACTACATTTACATGGCTCACAGCCACTGTAGTAGTGCTGTAGTCGACGTCACAAATGATTGCATAACGTCGCAAAAATTTTGCGCTCACAATATGTGAAGCACGGCTTGACTGACATTATAGTCGATAAACAGTTTTGAATATTAATGAGACTCTCGTTATGAGAGCACGTATTTTATAGGAACCGGATATTAGACTATATTGTGAGGGAATAGCCGTTGGATTGACATTAGGTTTGCATTCAGTTTCACATCATTTCAAATGAAGTCAACATTTGTTTCATTTATTGTTTGCAAATTGGACTCAAATTAATGAGTGTTTCGTTCATTCAATTGCTTTAAGTGTTGATTAGTTTCAGTTCATATCAAATATCTATTGATTTAATTTGTGTTTTAAGTTATTTATCAAAATGTCTTCAAATTCAATGAGTGTTTCAATGAATGAAATGATTCGCAAATTAATTGAAATCAAGAGATTTTGTGAAAAAATATATAAAATGAAATGTATTTCGTATGCAAATAATAGTGTTTTGTGTGAAGCGATTGGTTGTGAAAATAATGACAATATTTCAATCAATCAAACAATTGATTGCAATTCATGTAAAATCAGTGATAAAATGCTAAACAATTGTCATATCATTACTAAATCTGATGATTATTTTCACTGCTTTTGGCCTAAATGTCAATTCAAGACAATAAAGAAAAAATATTTAACTTCACATCTATTAATTCATTCATCAATAAAACAATTTAAATGTGATTTTAATAATTGTAATAAAAGTTTTAAACAAAAACGATATTTAAATGAACACAAAAATATCGTTCATTTGAATCGTGGAAAAGAAATAAACTGTTTTTGGCCTAAATGTGAATATAAAACTTTAAATAGAATTTGTTTTAAAACTCATTTATTAAAACATTCAAATATAAAACCATTTAAATGCGATTATAATAATTGTAATAAAAGTTATAAACAAAGTGGACATTTAATTCATCACAAAAATATCGTTCACTTAAATAAGAGATTTATTTGTGATTTCAATGAATGTCACAAAAGTTTTAAATCCAAAAATCATTTAATTTCTCACAAAAATACCATTCATTTCAATACAAATGCCGATAAAATGTTTCGCTGTCTTTGGCCTAATTGTGATTACAAAACACATAATAAGTGGTGTTTAAAATCACACCAAACTATTCATTTAGAAGTACAACAATTTAAATGTGATTTTAATAATTGTGACAAAAGTTTTAAATGGAAATCACAATTAACTGAACACAAAAAATCATTTCATTTAAATAATAATCATTTCATTTGTCAAATCAATGGTTGTCTCAAAGTGTTTACAGCAAATCGCTATTTATCTGATCACAAACGTGTTGTCCATTCAAATCGTAACAAATTTTCCCTGTTTTTGGCCTAAATGTGATTTCAAAACTAAAATTAAAGGATGTTTTAACATCTCATCAATTGATTCACAAATAAAATAATTTATGTTTTCCCGATTGTAAGCAAACTTTCAAACAAACCATTCATTTTGTCAAACATAGAAATCGCGTTCATTTCAAACTGACATTTGTTTGTGATTTCAATGACTGTCACAAAAGTTTTACAACAAAATACAGATTATTTCAACACAAAAATTATGTTCATTTGAATCAAAGTAAATACAAATGTGATGAACAAAATTGTGGCCAAAATTTTCTCTCTAAAGAAAGCTTAACTCTACACAAACGCAGACATTCTGGAGAAAAATCATTTGTTTGTCATTTTAATGGTTGTCTTAAAGCTTTCAAAAGAAGTTCCGATTTAAGAGTCCATAAGAGCTCACATTTAACTGATAAACAATTTAAATGTGATTATAATGATTGTGGTAAACGTTTTGTCTGCAAACCATATCTTTCAACTCATATTAGACTTTGTCATAAAAAATAATTATAAAGTTATTTGTTTTTTAATACATCAATATTTATGTAAATCAATAATCAAATGTTGTAATCATTTATTTTTTAATATATTTCTTATTCTAAAAACAATATTTGAATCAATAGATAATATATTAAAAATACAATTGAATATTGAATAAAACTTAAAAATATATTTTAAAACTTAAATAAAATTAATTTTCAAAATGTTAACATTTGTATACTTTTAAAATAAAATGATTTCAAAATTTTTATTTATTTTTAATTAGAGATAAATACAATATAAGCACAAATAAAAAGCCATAATCGGTAACATGTGATGCCTATGGTATCCATCACTGGATGTCTGTCTCAATGAAAACCTCTTCACTATTATTACGAAATGTCGCCAAAACTCTGCTATTAATGGGTCTGTAATTCATTGAATACTTTATTATAGTTTTGTATAATTTTTAAAATATAATTTAAATAAATTATAATTAAAATAATTACTTACGGTTTTAATTTGCGGTAAAAATAAACACCAATTAATAATATAATGAAAATTATTACAACGAAAGCAATGATAAACCAATTAAAACTCAAAAACGAATTATTGGTTGTGTTTTCTGGCAATTGACCAAAATCACTATTTGCCAGAATTGGTGCATAATTGGTCATAATTTGTACCTAGATAGTTTTTAATATGAAAAATTTGATTCTTATTTAATAAAACTAAAATAAATAAAACTCACATTTTCTTTGCAATGCATGTTTGCAAAGCAAACACATCGATAGCTGTCCCGTCGGACGGGTAGACAAAGTTGAGTGCAGTTATGATTAGCACAGCTATCGGTGCCGTTGGGCTGTCGGGAGGCGTCCAACACTTTCACTCCCTGTGACACGGAATACATTGGGATCAACGTATCGGTAGTGTAGCCATCAGTCCTGTGAACACCACTTCCACCAGAATTGGACCAAAATATATAACCATTGAAGACATCATTGAAAATGGATAATTAAATAGTGTCTTATTGACGAGTATTTGCCGCAAATTACCCCCAAAATAGTCCATTGAATTCAATGAATGCATGTCTTCGTCGATCCAATATATTGTTTGTGTCTTTATATCCAATGATAATGTAATTGGTTTTTGTGTCTTATTGTTGATCACCTGTACATCACTTCCGTCCAAATTGGCACTCGTTATACGTCCCGTAGTTTTATATGAATCATATTTATAGTTATATTGAGTCCACACGAGTAGGCACTCCAGGGGGTCGACCGCCACATCTCCTTGTATTTCAAAGTGTGTGATCACATCATATGAATACATATTACCCGATATTGTGTACCCTAAAAACCCACAGATACGCCCACCCGCGTATAAGCCGGGTCATAAAATTTTTAAAGTAAAATGTTCCCACAGATAAGCCGGTACCTATGTATAAGCCGAATTTAATATAACGTACGTTTTGAAACGTAATTTTTTGTGATATACTGGTTTACGTTTTCAGTCTTATTAGTCATTGACACTGTCTAATTCAGTGTCTTTTTTAATTGTGATTGTAATTGTTATCTAATAGCTAAAACACGCAAAAAGTATGGCAGTGCTAAGAAACTCGAAGTCCTTAGCTATGTAGATTAGTGGTATAAACTCGGTTACTGCATATCATACTGTATATTAAGGCTTCGGAAAAGTTATCATATTCATATGAGACAAAGTGCCATGATTATTTTATAATTTTATGATCACTTTATATAAATAAGCAATTTGAAAATATGAATTGAAAATTGATAATAGGAATTGTAAATATATATGCGGATGTATAGATAGGCTGAACCCATAGATAAAATTAAATGTATTTTGTAATTAAACTATCTTAATAAATATGATTATTTGAATTTTAAATCAAAATTGTTTTTAATTAACATATTTTATAATTAAATATGCCCATAAATAAACCATTCCCACAGATAAGCCGATTCTCTAATTTTTTCATGAAATGCACTTTTTTCATCAGATAAGCCGCGGCGTATCTGTGGGTTTTTAGGGTACACTTGTATGCCTTTCCACACCGATATGTACACTAACTCGTGGACCCAATCGTAGGCCATATACTTAATCATAAAACTCCTATTTGTATCATCTTTTTGAAAAACCAGTGTTTTATTATTTGGATATTTTGAGGGTTGATTGGTATCAATTGATCGCACGTTTAGTACCCATCGATAGTCATAATACTTGTCCTTTTCATTTTCTAACCATAACATATAATTGTGTTCATAATTATAACCCAATTCTGTAGTCAATTGCGAACTCTTATACAATGGGATTGAATCGAAATAATTAATCGTAAAATTATAGATATGTTTCGTAACGTAAATTCCCGCATAATTTCTGGCAAACATTAGATACGTTTCGTTTGCCATCAGTTTGAACGGTGGGAACATGTCTTGAGCCACAGTTGTTGGTTGTGTTGTCGTTGATTGATATACTGGCGAACAGTCAGTACCCGTCCAGACCTGACCCTCAATGCAACTGCAGGTATAGTTGCATTGATTATAAGCCGGTGTCGGTAGACATAGTTGTGGACACATATGGTTTGCGCACAGATTAGTGGCCATCGGTTGCCGGGATTTGTGTATTACTTTCAGACCCCATAAGACAACACCCGATTGGACCACAACTGTGGCCGACTCGGAGGCCAACTTTGACCGACCAATCGGTGCCCTCATTATCGTACAATTGGTGCCTTCAGTCCAATATAGATAACCCGCGTATATATCTATAAATGAAAAGCTGTCGATATTACGGGACTCGTAGTGAACGCGCCTATCGGTGGCATCGTATGACACGCTATACAGTGCGCTAATATAGCCCTTACGGTCGGCCAACTTTAGTCTACCGAACCAATAAATGCGGCGCTCATTGGTATCGACGGCCAAACTAAAGCTCACTATTAGCTCCGGTCCGACGAGCACTCGTACGTGCCGTCCGTCTTGTGTCGACCGCATTATACGTCTCGTCGTCTGTTGTCTGTCGCGGTTGTCGTAATCGTAATCAAATGGATTGCGAGGACTAACGCCATTGTCTTCGCTCCAGAAAAGTAACGCCGCCAACGGATCCACTCGTATGTCTTTAGTCACGCACTCCTCTTGTTTAACAATAGGGAACAGTTGTCTGGAGCCGGACGTCATGTTCGCCGCGTATATACCGTTATCTTTGCTTTCATAGGGCCCACAAATGGGCACATATACTATATTATGGATCCAATCCATGGCTAGTGATTGACATCGTTTTAAAATCGTGATCAAAATAAACCGGGCTAGTATTGTTTTGGCTAATTGTCAACGATTGGCTCAATAATTTCCATTTTATTTTGTTGTTCGCAATGAATATCAAATAATTGGTGGCAATATTATAGTCAAATGTATAAATGTAATCATCGCTTCGGTAGGCAAACTCTGATTGAGAGTAATATATGGTAAGATTGTCATCAGTGGACAGTCGGACCAAACGTATGTCCCGTTTGGATGACGTAAACATCAGTAACGGCTCATCCGTTGCCATCAATAGAGACAATGCAGTGATATTTGCCGTCTGTTTGGGTATGGCTTGAAGTGCGGGAAGTGTTGTATTAATATCACTACAGAACTGGTTGTGCGGACACAGACACCGATAGCCGTGTTTGCCGTTTGGGACACAAATGTGTTCACAATTATTGTCTTTGCAATAATCAGTTCCCGATTTCTGTTTAGATGAGTGTATAATACGGACGAAATCAATATTATCTTTAGATTTAACCACAGTTTTAACTTTGAAAGCCTTCATATTATCATTTAAATCAAGTTTTACTATTGTTTTATTTGTTGCCCAAAATAATAATCCATTAAACAAATCCATTGCTAAACAGTCGGCAAACAATTGCTTTGAAAACATTAATATTTTTCTATTATTTCCATTATAATCAATGGATGACAACGAAAGAAATTCATTATCAATCCATATAATGGTTTGTGTCGTAAAATCAATTGCCAGACAATTAGGTTCTCGTATGTCTTCGTAGACCAGTATCTGTGGATCAGATCCGTCTTCATTGCATTTCCTGATAACTGCCGAACCGTTATAAAAGTGATATTCAGACCAAACAATAAACCCGTCAAAAGGGTTGACCACAATGTGTCCAAACTTCCAGTAGTCATACCTTATACTGGATTTATTGGTTACGGCAAAACTCACGCCCGGATTATTGACATGAATTACATTAACGTTTGTGCCATTGAAATAAAACACTAGATTATGGATCCAATCGATGGCCAGATGTTCATCACTAGTTTTGTTAAACAATATCAGATTTTTGGTAAGTTGTAGCGTAGATTTTGTATAATTTGAATAGATGTTTCCATTGAACTTAGCTTGGTACATTTTGGAAGGGTAATTATCACCGATCCACACCATATACTTATCATTAACATTGATATCCAGGCTATAAATTTTATAATTAATGTTCAGAGCTGTGGGCGCTTTCCGGGCGACGATCACATCCCGGCCCTCGACATCCATTTCCTCGTAGTTAATACCGAGATCTTTCTCATTAAATAGTATTAATGCCGGTTCAGTGGCACCGGTATGTATGGCATATAAGATTGAAGTTAAAGTTACATTTATCACTATTAAATATAAATATTTATTCATGATGTACATTAAAAATTTAATTTACATTATATCATTGAATCAATACTACGATTCCTGTGTTGACTCACTTTATATATAATTTTCATACAAAACACATCTCAAAGAAATCTACAATTATATCAATATTATTGAAAGAAAAAAGTCTACAATAGACTGCGTGTAGTCTTTAAACTATTTAATAAAAAACTATTTCATATAGTGATCAGTGCTTTGCATTAATAGTCTAATTAGACCATCACTTCTGGTTTTGTGCTTTGAAAATGTCTTCAGCCTCTTGTGATAATACGACAGAGAATTGGGGTTCAATTGGACAGGAATTGCTTAATTTTGTCCTCAAATCGAGTGAATCTCTTCATAATGTCATCAATAAAGCAAAGATTCCGTCGAAAACATTCAATAGAAAGCGTAAGACTTCTTTCAAAAGGAAACACAACTTAAAATCAAAATCAATTAAAAAGCGAAATGAATTTAAGGTATTTTACATTTATAATTATTTGCTATTTTGATTAATATTTGTAATTATATTAGATTTTATGCAAATTAATAATTATTTAATTATTATAAAATATATTAAAACTTAATATTCTTATAAAATATTGTCGTATTCTTTAGGATAAAAGCGATTCAAATGATAAGAATTTAAATTCTTATAAAACAAACACCAATTTGGAGACAAACACAGAATTGAGAGACGACTCAACAAAACTGAATTTTGATTATGATTTTGATATGAGTTTGAGTTCGTGTGAAGAACTCTATGAGATCCCAATGGAAGAGCTGCTCTCCTCTCCCTCTTGGAAACAAATTGTTGAACAAAACTCATTCCTTTGGCCATAAATTTGCTTTCAATTCATTCTCTAATTAATATTGAGTTTATAATTTATATTTGCAATTAATCTGAAATGCATTCAATGATCTGTACTGTACTGTATATAATAAAATTTTAATTTTGCTCAAAATGTTGATTAATTCACACAAACAACTCACACATCAATGCTATGGTTGACCACAATTCGGGGATTTATCAAAGATTTTAAATGTTTCAATGCTTTCAATATTGCTATTTTCACAATTTGAAATATTTTTAATAATATTTGGTTATATTTCAATTGTCAAATTTGTTCAGTCAAATCCCACAGGATTATCATTGTCATAGACTTAGCATTACCCATGTTAGCCCTATGTCATAAACTTAACATTACCCATAGTATTACCATTTCCATAGACTTAGCATTACCCATGTTAGCCCTATGTCATAAACTTAACATTACCCATAGTATTACCATTTCCATAGACTTAGCATTGACTACGTTAAACATGTCATAATTTGTAATGTCATAGAAACCCATGTTACACTTGTACGAGCTTTCCCATGTTAAAGTATAGCCAACAATATTGCTGTAATCACATGTTAAATCCCATAGAGCGGAGAGTCGTGGGTAGCCGAACAATCCTATAAGCCACATTCTTTATACATTTATCTGAATTTATCTTTATACATGTACTGTATCTGAATTGTGGTTAAAAATGGTTAGTAAATATAATTAAATATTTTACTTATAGTATTTTAAGTTATATTAAATATAAAGCAAGTTATTCTTAAATATAAGTCTAGTCTTTAATTATAACAAAACGTAATATCTATTTGTATATCTATTTGTGCCAAATAATTGATGTATTGATGCACTGATAATCTCGTCATCTTCTACAACATGTCCAGTATATATAGGATTCTTACATATTAAAGATCTTTTTGATCATAACTCGGGAACCGTTACAGAATGACAATCTTGTCATTTAACTAATATATAAATGCATGTTTTGGGCAATTTTTGTGATAAGCATTTTTTGATCACTTAATTATATTTTGTGGAAATATGCGAAATGATATGCTTTATGCAAATTCTCAGTCTATTGTATTTATTATAGGGAGGACTGGGGGTTAGGTTTAGATAGAAAAGATTTCAAAGTGTTATACAAACTTAGAACTACTGTACATCGGATTGTAGATTTTTATATAGCAGGTTATATTAAAAGTAGACCAACTTTTGCATGTTAACCTATGAGGTTAAAAAAATAGAATTATATTTTTAAATACTACATTAAATGTCAAAAATGTAATTTCTTCGTCAGTAATTTTTTAAAATTTAATTCTAAAGACAAAATATCGTAAATTTTGGGTTTTTTATGGTTAAAACTGAATATTTCTATTTACGATATTTTGTGAATGATTTTATTTTGCCACAAAATATTTGATCAATGGGTCAATAGGTACACTGTAATAATAAATACAGAGTAACAATCCTGCATCAAAAAAATGCATAAACCTAATCCTGCAAAATGCTTGAATGTTGCAAATGCTTAAAACTATTTAAGCACTTATGCTTGAATTTGTCATTTTGTGGACGTAATTTTGTCCCAAACCAGAGGTGCAGAAAATAATTTAGTCACAAAATCACATCTCAAAATCATACACAATGACACAATACAATTCATTAGTTTAATAGGAAAACATATTTGACTATATGTCATGTTTATAAACAGTCATGCATGTTGAAATTAATAGGTTATCTATAAAGAGTACTATTAAGTAATACAGAATTAACCTTGTCAGCATAGCTCAGTTGGTAGAGCTTTGGCTACTAATTCTAAAGGCCCTGGGTTCGATCACCGCCTCGTCAACTTTTTTTCACATTTAATTATCACCTATGTGTATTTATATTCAAGCATATACATGCATTTAAAATTAAGCATGAATTTGCAACTAGTAATCCTGCAGCTAGGCTTAATTATTAGTCGTATCATATCCTGTTTTTGGTCTGATTATGAGTAGGACCTGAATATCAGTGACAAGTTAAATAAAAATAATAATTTTAAGTTGCATTATGATATTTGTTGAAATTTGTTTCAAATTTATTTTATGTCTGTCTCAATGAAAACCTCTTCCCAATTATTACTGAATTTGGCCAAAACTGTGCTATTAATGGGTCTGCAATTCAATTAAAATAGAAATATGATTAATATTATAACATTTTATATTTTGATTTAATTTATTATAAAATGCTTACCCATTAAATTTACGATATAAATAAATTGCAATTAATATAATATTAATAGTGATTATAATTAAAGTAATGATCAGCCAATGAATGCCAGAACTTTAGAGTTTAGAAATTTTGTGAACAATTCATTTAAATCGTTACTTAAAACTTTTATCAGCTTTGCAGCAACAAGGTTAACACCATTATATTGGCACGATTTAATTTTCTAATATTAAAATACACAACAAACTATTCAGTGTTGATGTACGGGGAAAACCCGTTCCTCTGACCGGGTATTACAATCGGGTATTCTTTTCAAACGGGTATTGAGTCAACACATCGGCCAACGGTTGTCCCGTTTGGCGCAGATCATCGGCCAATGCCCTCATAAAAGCCAAATCGAGGCCCTCATTGCCGGCGCCAAACGTCTCGGCCGTGTCGACCATAATGTGCAGCAATACGCCAAACGCCAACTCGTCCTCCCGGATCTCCCGGCGCCAGTCGGGCGCCGATATGTCGACACCCCATCCGGCGAAATGATTACGCGATACGGCGTAACCGAAATCAGTCCATTTCACCACATAATCACCGACAGTGTCCTCACCGACAGCGGCATCTGACCCGTCATACCAGGTGGTGGTGCGCCGGGCATTGCCCGGTAAGTTACGATCAAATAATAGCACATTACCGGCGTGCACATCACAATGTGCTATGCCCTGGCCGTGCATGTATACCAGTCCTATAGGGGGGGGGGATAGAAACATAATGATAATTTGTATGCATTATTACTAAAACTCTATATGGGTTTACATACCGGAGCACAACTGGCGTATAAACTCAATGCACAGGCGATCGTTGAGCCGCTTGTAAATCATAAATGAGTACAAACTACCCTCATCTCCGTAGTCCATAATGAGAAACATACGGTAATAACTGATGATATCGCGGGCGCCGTCCACTCCTTCCCATACGTTGCGGAGCACTACCCGTCGGCCCAAATGGACGGACGCCCGGAAGGCAACAATGTTTTCATTGACGCCCTCTCTATGGCGTTCAACCGTCGGTCTTCCATTTCGGCGTCGCCCGTGAACTGTACGTATTTGGCAGCAAAATAACCGCCCGGAGCAGCACCCAGCATGTATCTGCCTTGTTTTTCGCTCAGTTTAGAGATCTATGTAAAAGTAAATCATTAGTTCATGGAGAGCGAGAGAGAGAGTGAGAGAGAGAGAGAGAGAGAGAGAGAGATCTAACTCATACATTTTCATTGTAAACGCCCCTGTACACTATACCCCAGCATCCCTGACCCAATTTCTTGGTGGTCTTGTACTTGACATCAAAGCCCCAGTCCCTCAGAGCGTGCCGTACATTGCGTTTGGTTTTCTGCCGGAGCCGTTCAGCGTCGGTGAGCGCCAACCGGCCAGTCCTCAGCCGTTTCCACATGTGGCCAACACTGGGCACATGCATACGCCCGGAGCCGCTACTCAAACGCAACGCACCCGACGACGAGCTCTTGTCTAAGAGTGGGGTGCGGTAGTCGGCCGGCGCCCTCTCAAAGGTCCGCTCCAGCACTTGCATCGGCAGTATTGTCGACGTACTCGCTGTGAGTAAGACCTCCGCCACCCCCTCCCCCTCTGAGCTCAGCGAGGGTATGGACGCAGAGGTGGCGTCCGATACGGCCGATGGGGTGAGCGATGAGATGTAGACAGAGCTACCACTGGGTGTTAGGGCTAAGGCCAGGGATGAGACAGTGACGAAGTCTGAGTCAGAGTGCGGCGGTGTCTCCGGTAAATTTAAATTTTTAAAATTACATTTTATTTATTTATTTTGGAATAAATTATTTGTATAAATAACTGATTTAATGGACAATTAAATTAAATGTAGCTAAATTTAAATTGATTTTTAATGTTTATGGTTATGTCTAATGTGTTTCAATAGATATGCTTTATTAGCAAAAGCTTTACAACAATTCGTAAAATGACATTTGAAATGTTTTGTAGTTAAATGTGTTGTCATATGATTTGTTAATTGAGATTTTCGAGAGAAACTTTTGTTACAATCTTTGAAATGACAAACAAATGGCTTTTCTCCCGAATGTATGCGTTTGTGATCAATAAGATTTACTTTATTATTGAATCTTTTGCCACAATTTTCTTCATTACATTTAAAGAAGGATGGGCAGATCTGTAATGGGGTTTGAATAAGATCTGTAATAGGGAACTATTTTATCTGGTTTTTGAAAGTTTTTACAAATTATAAATGATTTATTGTATGACATTAAACTACGTCAAATATAAAGTATTTTTATCTTTTCCATATGACCATCCGACCTCGGGTACAGCCGCAGTGACCACTTTTAGCAAGAACTTTAACTTATCTAATGCTAACATATTATATATGAAATCAATGTAGAATTTAACGCATAATTAGAATATCGTAATAACGTCTCGATCGAGTGCTTAGATTTAATGTAATTTCAATTTATTTTTGGTCCGCGTTGGGTGGTGGTGACAATTGGGTCAAGAGTGATGAAGGAGGCCTGGAGATGTGTGTGGTGTTGACGTAGATAGTAGGGGTTGAGGAATAATAGGTTATTTTACTAATTTTATCTAAAATTCAATAGTTTTAAATAAATAACATAAGATCTATTAACTCCACCGATGTGATATTACGATATTCTAGTTCTACATTAAATTCTACATCGATTTCATATATCACATGTTAGTATTAGATAAGTTGAAATTTCCCGATAAAAGTGTCCACTGCGGCCGAACCCGAGGTGGTTCAGCCATATAGATTATATCAATGGACTCCTTATACAATGTAGTTTTATATTTTATAGTCAAATCCCGGGTGCCAGCGGGGGCAGATCTGCCCATGGTCCTTTCTTTTCATTCAAATGAACACAACTTTTGTGTCGAAATAAATTCTGTTTTGTTGAAAAACTTTTGTGGCATTCATTGAAATCGCAAATAAATTTCACTTTTAAATGAACGCTATTTTTATGATGAATTAATGATGAATTTTGTGTGAAAACTTCATTACAATTATTAAAATCACATTTAAATTTTTTAATTTCTGAATGAATTGATTGATGTTGAATTAAATGCTTCGTTTCTTGTGTCTTGTATTGACATTTAGGCCAAAAACAATGAATATAATCATCAGATTTAGTAATGATATGACAATTGTTTAGCATTTTATC